GGAAAAAAAAAAAAAAAAAAAAAAAAAAAATCAGAGAGTAAAATGATAGGATCACCCAAATTGCAACAAATAAAACACGAAGGAAAAGAAAACCTAATTCCAACTACAAAATTCACAAAATTGGCACAGATAGAGCAGCAACGTGCTCGAACTTATCCTAAAGAAATGCTCAAAACAACCGAAAAAACAACACCCACAAACTGTAAATAAATAAAGAATATGAGAAACTTGGAAGTTCTATAATTTTTTTCAAGTCACTTTGGATTAAAGCTCTATTTATTTGAAGCTAAAAAAAGAACTTCATGCTGTTTCATGCTGAAGATGGTGGCTAGGATTCATGCTGTTTCAAAGAACAAAATGTTCGCTGAAGGAAGTTAGACATAGTAGCTGTTGCATAGTAGCTGTTGGTCTATTGTTTCGGAGTCGTCCTTACAAATAATGCACCACCTCGGTGTAAAAGCGCCTAAACCTAGATTCACTCAACCAAGTACAAATGTCAAAAAGAAACTCTAAAAGGTTAATCTACAATCAGCATGGAAACTACTCGTACGGTCATAGAAATTGTGAAACTTTTGGATTAATTTTTCCGCATGGACTTTTGGGAACTACAATCAGCATAGACTTGAATCTTATGTTGAATCTTTTGGATTAATTTTTCCGAATTGTAAAAAGGAGTCTCCTTCTAGATTAGATGTTCCTTATTTAGTTCTGAACCTCTTCCTTCTATTCCACATTCTGTACCTACCAAATTTTCATCTCTCATTCTGAATCCATACATGTTGAACTAAAAAAAAAAAAAGAGGAAGAAATTTTTAAGAGGTTTAGCTCCAGTCAATTCAATTGAATAAATGATGGATTAATTCTCCTCTAAGCAGAATTTACATGAAGAAAATAAAACCCGTCCAGAAACCATGAGATAAAAAAGGAAGACGAAACAAACTGTCATGAGAAAGTATGGATGGAAGAAATGACGGACTAAGTTCTCCCCAAATTCAAAATTTCATGAAAGATCAAATCAGAAACATCGTGTTTATACTTGCATGAGAATCAATAAATGTTTTAAAATGAATCATTTGCACCCAAAGAAATTAATGAGCCATTTGTATACCTATGCTCATGCATCAAAAGACCAAGGTAGATCTTCCTCTAACAAAGTTTTTTGAAGTGAGTATGAAAGACACCTCTACAAGCAACAATAGACCTTTAAATTAGAGAGAGAAAAGGGGATTTAGAACATACCAAACCAAGAGCTTCCGCAGCAGTCTTATGACTATCTTTACCACAAACGCCAATAAACATATTCATTAACGTTTCTCTCTGTTCTACCTTCAAGTGCTTCTTCAAGCCTAGAGTCAACATCTCCATCTCAGGCTGGAGAACCAACGAAGATAACATCAGAAAATTTGAGTAACTACAGTTTATTACGAAGGTTCAGAATACGTACCGAGGATTCCTCAGGAGGAAATATCTGGATGATGTAACAGATCTTCAACAACTCTGCATTTGCTTCAGATTGTCTGTCTTGCATCACTAGAGCCTGTGATGTGATAAAATTGACTAAGCAAAACCTCTTCATTGTATAAGAAACCATACATATTACAGGGAAGAAACATCAAAGAGAAAAACAGAAAGTTCCCCCATGAACAGGCTAAGTGATGGTTTACATAGTTCCGTTCATTTTTCAAATTCCAAATACAAAATATGGAAATGATTTTAAATTTCGTATTAGAACATAATAGAAATTTCTTGAAACTAGTAGAAATAGAACTCGAACAATCTTGTGCTAAAGAAAAAAAAAAATCCAACATAGTTTTAAATTCTTGCACATAATTCCATCTTTGTAAGTTTTCTCATGGCAAGGTTCTTGCAAAAATAATGTGTGAGTTACCATTCACATAAAAAGACACAAGCATTTGATATAATGAAATCATCGGATATTATAAAATATTTACCCAGGCCTGTAAAAAGCATGAACGCATTCTTGCAGCAACAGCAGCAGAAACTATCCTGGCAGCACGAATATTCTCAATGCCAATATCCTCAGCAAGCCCAGCAACAAAATTTGGACCATCCTCGCCATTAATGAGAACTGAGTTCGGGAAAACTGGAGTCCTGTAAATAAGTTACAATCACAAGAACATTAAAGATCTCAGTATGATCACATGAATAAAATCCAGAACTAGAATTTGAAAATTAGCATGATTCATCTTTCTATAGAATACATATTAAAAGGAGCAACAGTATAAAATTACCTGCTATAGATATTTAAAACAAAGTCCACTGATGCTCGATAGAATGAATCACGCATATTTTCGGTGTTGAAGGAAACTTTTACTCCAGATGTCCTACATATTTGACGCAACTGCTCATGCATTCAGGCAAAGAGAATTGCAGGCAATAATAAAAAGATCAGCTATGGCAATAAGGAAAGTCCAGCGCTATAAATGATGGAAATTTCAGCCAAAATTGACAATGTAATTCATAAGTGAAAGTTTCCCATCAAACCCAATGGAAGAAAAAATAAAATGATGGTTTGGAGAATTGAATACTAGTCTAAAATATTGATTTGCTCATCACTTTTAAATTGTCAATTGATATGCCTATTAAGGCAATATTTACAGATGCTTCTCATTACAGCAGACAAGATATGCCTAGAATGACTATGAGTAGTGAGGTCTTAACTATTACTATCATAGACTAGAAAAGCATATTTCAATCAATACCATAATCCAGCCAAATCTTCTTCGAGCTATAACTGACGTAGTTGACCCGTCTCCTTTTTATATTCCAAACTTATCACGTCCTATAAGTTGATTGCTTAAGGATACGAAAGCAATTAGGAAGTTATAAGGATATTGAGGGTAAGGGTATGTTACTAATTCGTTAAGGAGTTTGTTGAGAGGGACTTGTTATACTCGAGTAAAGATCAAGGTAGGCCGTTTGGTGGCTTTAGACCTATCTTTTATCTTTCAATATATATCGGCTATTTGGTTTCGGCCAAAGTGATATCAATAAGAATTCCTTTTTTTTTTAACAAAAAACCACTTCTTATTGATATAATAAAATGGAATAAAGGTTTAACGATACAAACACCCAAAGGGCATGAAAAAGAGAAAAAGACAAATACAATAAATACAACCATAAAAGAATTAGCCACGAAAATTAAAAATATATATATATAATAACGAAACGAATGAAAGTTTAACCTCAGAAATCTGGTACCTTTTAATGGGTTATTAAAGAACCGATCACAACGATACTAAATTTGACTTTTACATTGTGAAAACTGGAATCAGATAGGTTCTGTTCATGTTTAGTAAGAACATTACAGCACAACTCAAACCTAATGCCAAGAGGACTAAGCACCAAAATCATTGAATGCATAGTATGTATTATCATGTAAGGAATGTCACATAATAATTCCGGACATAATCTCTCAGAAAATGACACACAAAATAGAAGTAATTAGCTTTGTCATACATCTGTATAGCCAGAACTGATACAGATTGCGTGGATATTGAACAAATGCAACCAAAGATGCCTGTAGTATCATGATATGGATGAAATTACGCACTATTAATGACAAAATACATTAGCGAAAAAGTAGAAAAAGATTAACCAAGTGGGCAAGCAAACAAATCAAAAGGTAAAATGTTAATTTTCTTCATTTATAGGTACGTTCTTGAAAGTCCTCAATGCTCTCATTCCAGTAATTCCATCCGGTTTCCTATAACTTATTTTTGTGTTTGACTAAAAATTCATGAATGTTCAATAGTTGCATAGTAGGAGGCATGATGAACAATAGAAGAAAAGGATGATATTAGTATACCATAAAATTAGTTTACAAAAGATTCATCAATTGTAGTTAAAGAACAGCACTCACTTGAACAATATCATCCTCCATGAAATCTCGCCCACTCATTCTATTATCCACGAGGGCTGGAAATCAAGTGGGTAAGTTCAGCTTCAGTTTATGGCAATGCGAAAAGTTAACACAGATTTTTGCCAGCAGATACAGAAACAACTAGTTACTACAGGGATCGTGCTTAATGGAGTCGGAAAATTACATGATCCTTTCAAATTCAAAAGACAATTAACATATACGAAATCTTTGTGCACTAACCTCGGACTAATCTGTTGGCATCATCCTGATATTCCTGCCTATTCGCCGTGGTAATCTGTCTGGGAACTGCTGGAGGCCACCATTTTGGCAACCTTTCTCCAACCCGAACCCCATTCTTCGATACTTCATCTGAAACATCCGTCAGATTCAATGAAGCCGTAGCTTTATCTCGCGCTACAACACTACTCCCAGTACCAACAGCCACCTCTTTTCCACCGAGGCTCCGGTCCCTTCTCACCACAGGAGAAGTATGTCCAGAACTAAATTTGTTGAAAAAACTAGATCCGATCCCAATCAAGCCCTTAACTACAAAGTGCCCAAAGATGCTCAATAGCACCAACTGACCAACGAATTTCGCAGTGGAATGCCGACACGAGATGGTCAGTATGCGATTCTGATAATCGAAGGCAACCAATGTCCGCAAGTCGTCAAAAGCGTCCGATCCCGACGATATAAACCGGCGAACTTTGGAACGGGAAAGGCAGTAGATGTAGTAGAAGAAAAAAGAGACTTCAGCAGTGACTTTGTCGATGTCAATCGCGATTTGGAAGTTCCGTTCTGAGGAGAAGGAGGAGGAGGGAACTCTAGGAGTGCGGGTGATGTTGATCGTTTGAAGCTTATTTTTCCAGCGAGTTCGACGGCGGGCATTAAAGCAGGAGAGCGTAGTGAAGAGTCGTTGGGGCTTCGGCGAGGAGAGGCGGTAGAGGAGGAGGCGACGGTTATGGCGATCGGGAGTGAGAGGATGTGGAAGAAAGTGGCGGACTGTTGCGGTGTCCATTAGCCCGTAGAGTCAATGAACTGGAAGCTCCGTCTGTCTGCCTGGACTTCGTATGAGACGGCAAAGAGGGCGGCTCCGTCGTTGCACAGCTAAAATGGCGCCGGACGCTGTTGACATTGTAGATAAGTAACCAACTCAAACTCCGATCGTCGATAGTAAGTAAGGTATAATCTCGTACCCTCCAAATATGTTGTTTTCCAATAGCAACAATAGGGGATGTATATTACTCGATCGTATCGTCTTATTTTATGCTACGAGTTAAACATTTATGTTAGTTTTATACATCAAAAATGACGAAAAATCGTTCACGAAACTAAATCGAACATACCAAAGTAGACATACAGTGAAAATACAAGCAGATGGGTTATTGCAGACATGTGTCTACCGGCAATAACACTCTCCCTTATTGAGTAGGTCAAATATACGTCGTCGTTTTGTAATTTCTATTGCTATGCTTCTCAACTGAAGCTTATCATTTGTACGAAGAAGAAGTTGTAATAGGTTTTTTTTTTTTTTTTTTTTTTTTTTTTTTTTTTTTTTTTTTTTTTTTTTTTTTT